TATTTTTAGTTTATCTTTTTTGTTTACACTTGTTATCTATACATCCCTGTCATTGTGAACCAGCAAGAACGAAACAATTTTAGGGTTTTGAATGTTCAAACACCATGTGCCTAAAGTATAGATTAGTGATCCGCTGACAAATACAGAAAGTGGCACAGCTATTTTATTGTCAGAATAAATTTTCACGTGTCTGCGGCAATCTCGCAAAATGACCCGATGATCGTTTGTGAAACTCCTTCAAACAGCTACTGAAGGGAAACAAACGAAAACTGTCAGAAACAATAGAAATCACTAGAAAAGGATAGAAACGATGCAAACGAAAAAATTGCCAAACGATAATGTAAACGATTCAAACGTTGAGCGTAACGTCTCACTTGACCTTGATCTGACCTGTTGAATAATTTGTCTGCAAAATTTTCAATGAAATATATTTATGAAAGTAAAAATGACGGAAGAAGTTCTTGCGTCTTGCTGGATGCAAGCACAAGCGCCTTGCAAAAAGCCACATGAAGTTGCCAGCTTGCAGACGCGAAAGAAGTTCTTGCACGTGCATTATTTTGGGGCTGTATATACGTACGTTTTGTTCTTAGGTGGCTATACCTTTCCATATATTCATAGGATCGGATCACAACTTGCATATTTTTTTAAAACAACTTATTTAATTTTAGTAAACCTTCAAGCGGTTGCAGGCGGTAAGAAGTGTTACTTCAGGCGGTAAATTTTACCGGTTACCGCCTGATAAGGAGAACACTGACAAGTAGGCCAATATTAATAAACAGTTGATAGAGGGGATCTTCAGTATTTTTGATTTTTTACCACTTTTAAAACTGTTTGGCTGGTAAGATGGGTTTCAAAATCTACAATCATTTATTACTCACAGTTGACCAGGCAGTTGGCCAGGTATTTCTTTAACTTTTCTTCATAGTTGCTAACAGTTAGTGTTAATAAAAAGAAAGAATTCCAGCTGACCTAGATTTTCTCCACCCCATATGTCCATATCCATATCATACTTTCCAATTCTCTCAAACCATTTCTTGTCAATAGAGAACAGTCCTCCAGCAATAACAGGGGTCCTAAATAGAATTTCACTTAATTCAGTAAAGAACGGCAGAGAAACAACAATAAATATTGTTGTTATACAGCTGTAGTATTATAGTATTATTAAATTATTTGTTGTCTATCACTTGTATGCAATGTGAATTTACTGTTGTGAGTATGCCTATTCATGATTTCATAACAAACTATAATTATTGGAAGAGCCTAATACAGTGTGCAAAGATAGTACATCTAGTGTCCGATAGCCTGAGGCTAGTGGATTCATCAGACTAGTGAACTCTTATCTTAACTTCCCACATTAGTGAAGGTTGTTTAGGTGGGAATCAGTGCTCATCAAGAATATGTTTGGAGAGTTGAAATAACTTTTGGGCAATTACATGATGCTACATGATGTAATATCACCTGACTTTCTATGCACCATGGCCTTCTAAAGAGGACAAGAAGAAAAAACAAACACAAAAAAGAAGACTATTACTTGATAGGATCCATGGGACGGCCTGCACGTTCTGCGAGGACATTTGCTGGCAAGTAATCCCACTTGAAATTCAAATTCCATCCAAATCCTGTGAAATGAAATTTTCAATCGTAAATTTTGGACACCCTAGAAGTGCGTTTTAGCTGATGAATTGAAGGTAAGCCCGAGAGAATGTGCATTTCTTCAAGTCTAAAACATTACCCGAAAAATTTAAAACAAAGACCCTTTATATTATGCACATGTAAGTGAACATGTATATGTTGCAGTTAATTTTTTATTTCAGTTAATTTTTGGTTTTCCTTTGTTTTAAATTCATTAGCATACATAACCATACCCAGAAACAATGGAAAAATAAAAATTAACTGAAATAAAAATTAACTACAACATATACATGTACATGTACATGTACAGGCTTCATATGGTCTGACTAGTAAAACAAAAAACAAAAAAAAACAAATACTGTAAACTGTTAACACAGCAAAGTAAAACAAATTGAATGCAAGAGAGTAATCACCTCCTCTTAAATCTGATGAAGAGCCCATGTATTCAAAATTATCCATATTAATGACATCAATGATAGGGCTTACAATCATATTACGCTTCTAAAAAGAAATGACATTAAAAAGATTAGATGTTTAAATCAAAATGAAGTACACTGAGCCACCCAATAGTAAATATTCGAACAAAGCTGACCTACTTGCCTGCCCCAGTTAAACAATAAAATTTTTCTCTTGATTTTTTTCAAACCTTCGGAAGATTAATATTGGAACCAATATCCTATTCCTCAGGAGTTAATTAAAAAAAAAAAACAGGTTCCCACTATATTAATTTTATAAATTAATAACAAACACCTCACAAAGTCCCAGAACTTCTGCTACCAGAAGCCAGCCCCTAGATGGAGACAGCTCCCATGGCTGGCAAATCCTGGTAATTCAGCCACGACCCCCAATGTGGATCAAACTGATAAAGAGTGGACAGGATGAGGGAAGAAAAAAGGGAAGGGAACAGTAACACAGCTGTAGAGGATAGCCACCGACCCATTCCCCACTTCCTTCCAAACAAACACAAACAGAAAAAAAAAAAATACTGAAGCTGAATGCTACAGCTATACATGTAAATGAAGAGCCAAACATTACAACACACCTCCTACCAAGAGCATGCAGAATACCCCTTACACACAACCAAGTACCATTGCCTACAAAGGAAACTAGGGTACTGCTCCCTCTAGTTTAGACCCTGTCAAAATGCATTATAGCTGTAATTTATTACACCATAAATTTGTTAGGCTTAATTCTGAATTTGAGTGTAGGATAAAAAGAAAACTGTTGGATGATAACACAATGCAAAAATTAATGACTCCTGATCTGACCCTAGACCAACACCGTTACTACATGTACTATTGAACAAACACACTTTTTAACTACCTCTTTTATCCTCTGCAGAAGTGGTTCCAGCCAATTCTTATTACATTCACAATGACTATCTAAAAACGTCAATACATCTCCTTTGGCTTCATCTGCTCCTCGAACACGAGACCGCATCAGTCCTACATGAACAACAGCAATCACAGAGTTGAACACTTGTTTATGTTCAGTACCATAAGTCTTCCTGTTTTCTGATATACATGTGAATAATGCTGTTTCCTTGTTTATGCCTGGAGAGGCAGCATACCATGTTCATTTCAAATGTTTGAATTGTTTGCCATTAATTTTTGTTCCTCAGCACTAAAAACAGTATGATAAAATGTTTTCCTTGGACATGAAGTGGTGCGCACTTAATGGAGATACACTGTATTATTCTGTTCTACAGGTAGTGAGGTTTTCCTGATGAAAGATGCTCTATTATACATAAAATAGGTAAAATAATATGAAGTCACCAGAAAAAAATGCCTTTTCCATGAAGAATACATTATAAACAATCCCAGAAGAAACAATAGATACATGTACTAGCTACATTGTACATGTACATGTAGCTAGTAGCAATTTACAAGAAAGCTTTCCTCACCTTCTCTTTTGTCATTTCTAAGCACTCTCACTTTAGGAAGTTTTTCTAATAGCTTGCCATCATCAGCTACAAAACAAATAAAAGATTAAAATATAACAAAAAAGCCATTAATACTTCATTTTACTTTCATTTCATTTAATTCTGTCCTCTCCCTTGAGCACCACAAGAGAGTGAAAATGAAAGTTTAATATCATAGGCAATTCTGTTCATTAACCAATATAATTTTCAGCATCAAAGATTGATTATAAACTATCTTATATCATTCTTTTGTTCTATGGATAAGCACTTTGTCATTACACTGTACTTATAAAAAGTTCACACTTACGATTGTCACTATAGTCATCAACCAGGATAATTTCTTTCAACAAATTCGGGGGACTTCTATTTAGTGAACTAAAATGAAAACAAGAACAAAATTAATAGCAGGGAATGAATAACTTCAAAATGATAACAGGGGTAAAACTCATGAGTTGGCTTTAACAATTTATTGCCAGTAACACCTGTAACTTACACAACACTGCAACTGTAAGCTTTAAAAACAGTATGTTTTAGTATCTAAAATGATGTGTTATAAAATAATAAACCACTGTACTGTCCTACCCTAACCACATTTTTATTTTCATCATGAAGGGAAGGAAGTTAAGAACGCATGCCCTAAAACAATAGTGTAGACCGGCTTCTCTTAAGTGACAGTACCTTATGACTGTTCGCAGTAATGCCGCCCTCCCTTCATTGTGAAAGCATATTATAATACTGGTGGTTGGCAAATTATCTGTCTTCCATGTTTGCTGCTGGCATCTGCTCATGAGAACAAAATTGCAAAAAATTATTTCTAAAAAATAACTACACTGTACATTACTAGTGTAAATAAAGTAATTACAGCTCTATACAACCAAGCTTTAACTGATTCACAAAATGGATCTTAAAAGAGCAGTGTGATGAAATTTATCAATATTTAGGCAGTTGGAACCACCACTAAACTGACTGGAAAATAAAAATAATGCCTGAAAACATGAAAAAATATATTACAGCTAGTGCTCTCTATATGGGTCATAACTATTGACCTAAAAATAATGATAATAATAATAACATATTTTAATTTTAACTCACCATTTCCATTGCTGTTAAATGGCACTTTACAACAACAATTATATTTTTTAAAAAAATAAATCATTGATACATAATAATGCACTGTAACCTGTTTTAAAATTTTAAAAATAAGCTATGCATTAAAATTCACAATATTGTTAAAATGAATAAAAATATGAATAAAATCAAGTAAAAACCAAATAAAAAGAAAATGTAGGAAATACATGAAATTATGTTCCTACGTGGATCATAAGTAAATTAGAAGCCTTCTTAAAAAAATATGACATTGCCTACAGTAACACTGTACATGAAGCACATAATTATTTTTAACTTTATTAATTAATTTTTGCTTAAAGTTGTACGCTTTACTCTTTGCATCCGTAAAAGATTTACATATATAGCTGTGTCTTTTGTTTTTCTCAGCCTGCTAAGTAGGGTCACAACGACTGTGCAGTAGAAAAATGCTTCTTACACATAATCTAAATTGTGAAGATTTATGATAGAAACTCCAACATCAGTTTTAAGAGCTGTGAAGACTGAGATTTTTAATGCCATAAGACATGCTGGAAAAATTTTTCAACTTACTCAGAAGCTCTAACGTCTGGAACATCCCTGTTAAAAGCAGCTTTATCACTAGCTTCTTGATTATAAGCATTGCTTGCATAAGCATCACCACCTTTCTTTACCCTGGTAACAGCTATGTAGCTTTCCACGTCGAAATCTTCTATTCTTCTGAGGTCCATTTCATCTGAATTCTGAGCAAGTTTAGAGGATTGTCGCTGAAAAATTTATAAAAAAATAAAAATTACAAACATACAGTGCGTGTGTCTATTTATCCAGTTTATCTAATGATGAGAAGACCTACAGTAGCTCTTTCATAGCTGTCATGACACCTAGCATATTCATTAAGTATTTCCATTCATAATAGAGAACTTAAGCAACAACGATGGGGACAGCTACAAAAACGTCACTTAAAAAAAGAATTTGCACTGCCTCAAACTGTATCTCACTAATTATTATTCCACCATGTTTATTTTGTCAAATGTTGGCAATTTTTTTTGGAGTTGAATTCTAAAGGATTGTATCAAAGTTCAAGAAAAGAAAAAGAAAGTCATTGTCTTGTGATCCCATCCTCGACAAAACATGTTGTAGTCGTACAATGACAGCTAAGAAATGTACAATTAAGCGTGATGCACATGCAAAGTTGTTGTTTTGCTAATATAACCCTACTGCTTTTTTGGCATTCTCAATGCCGTCACTGTTGTCGTTGTTTAAGCTCCCTTATATAGTGATGGTTAGCTCAAAAGCTAAGCTCCTCTGACCACCGTCACTTCCATCAAAGACATTAAGACGGAATCCATCAGGAAACTGAGTAATTTCAATTTTCAGTGGACAAAAACCTTGTACCAGAATAATTTAAAGCATACATGTATTGCATTCTTTTTGCATTTTTCCAGAGCTAAAGATATAATGGTCATCTGTAATAACACCAAAGAAAACAAAATGGCATCTTACACATGAAATTTTTTAGAATTTTACTTGTGTTTTCACTATTCATTTTCTCAGACTCCTGTGATAAATCTTCTCTGGTGTTATTACAGATGACTAATTACATCTTTAGCCCTAGAAAAATGTAAAAAAGAATGCACTATTCTTTAAATTATTCTGGTACAAGGTTTTTATCCACTGACAATTTCCTGGTGGACTCTGTCTTAATTCAATTCCTTTCTTCTTCTTCTTTTTTTGTTGTTTTATTCCTTCATTACTATATTATACAATGTGAATAAAACTGGAAAACTGAAAACATAGACACAAGGAAATAATTATTTAATAATTAAAGCTAAAAGGTTAAGCTTATCTGCATGTATGGATACAATCCATGGATACAATCGAAAGGTTAAATCTATGATATTGTCCAGATTCACAGATTAAAAGCTTGTTTATCTCCTTTTTTAGTTTCAGAAATTGTCACAATAACAAACAAACAAAAAAAGCTTAACCTCAGAGATACAAAGTTCAAGAAGCTAAGCTAAAAAATTACGTGAAACATGCATGATATTTGCCAAACTGAACTATTAATCTAGCTTAAGCTGGTCACTATATACTGTACTGGTACCAGACACTGGAAATTTAATTCTAATGCACTAGGAAATTCTTCCAATGTTAGTGACAAAGAAGGGGCAAACACTGTTTACACACTTACTTTGTTATTATAAGTGTCTTCATTCATGTTGGTTTCTTGTTCGTTAATGTCTTGTTCAAGTGACTCCAATTCACCGGTGTCACCAAAGTTTACGAAGTCCTCAGTTCGTCGTGAATCGTCCTTTGTTCCGGTCAAAGGAGCCAAAAAATATACCATTCCCCCTAGCCATATTGTTACCAAGATTACTAAAATTGTTTTCCTACGCCTCAGCAGTCTCATGTCTCCTACTAAACTAAAAAACT